GAATATATAAGGAATCCCTACAACTCAGTAATAACAACAACAACAAAAAACTGGTTAAGAAATAAGTAAAGGGCCTGAATAGACTTTTCTCAAAAGAATGCATACAAATGGCCAACACTATGTATAAGAAAAGATGCTCAACATCACTAATCTTTAGGGAAATGCAAATCAAAATCACATTGATATATCACCTCACACCTGTTAGAATGACTATGACTAAAAAAAAAAAAGATAAATGTTAGCAGGGTTGTGGAGAAAAGGGAACCCTTGCACACTATTGGTGAGAATGTAAATTGGTGAAACCGTTATGGAAAATAGTATAGAGGTTTCTCAAAAAATTAAAAACAGCTACCATATGATCCAGCAATTCCACTTCTGGGTATATATCCAAAGGAATTGAAATCAAGATCTTTTAGAGATATCTGCATTCCTATGTTCATTGCAGCATTATTCAGAATAGCAAAGATATGGGAACAACCTAAATATCCACCTATGGATGAATGGATAAGGAAAATGTGGTACACACACACATGCACACACACACAGTGGAATATTATTTAGCCTGACAAATGAAGGAAATCCTGCCATTTGTGAAACATGGATAAATCTGGAGCACATTATGCTAAGTGAAATAAGCCAGACAGAAGGACAAATACTACATGATACCACTTATTTAATGAATCAAAAATAGTCAAATCCATAGAAGTAGAGTAGAATGGTGGCTGCTATGAACTGGTGGGTAGGAGGAAACATAGAGCTTATTAGTCAAACGGTACAAAATTTCAGATGTACAAGATGATTAAGTCTTAGAGATCTACTGTACAGCATAGTGTCTATAGTGAGCAATACCATATCATGTACTTAAAATTTTGCTAAGAAAGTAGATTTTATATTAAGTCTTATCACACACACAAAAATAATAACTAAAGTGGGTAAGAAGAAACTTATGGAGGTGATGGATATGTTTATGGCATAGATTGTGTTAATAGTTTCACAAGTGTATACTTATCTCCACACTCATCAAATTGTATATGTTTTCAGCTTTTTGTATGTCAATTGTACCTCAATAAAGTGTTTTTTTAAAAAGAGAAATAGCAAACCAAATAATTTAATAAATATTTGTTAATGATAAAAAGAAGAGGATGTAGAGTACTACGAGGGCTGTACATTATAATTTGGTCAATAATTAAAGTGACTAGGCATTGAGCCAGTAACGTTACTAAGTGAACAAGAATGTAAGGTACCAAAGTTACAGAAGCAAATGCTCAAATATGTGTAAGAGCAAAATGTGAATGTTTTACCAGCAACACTAAATCTCTGCCTTCCCAAATCTATTTAAATCATTTAAACATATACAGTTTGAACACAATATGTTATTTGCACATTCAGTGACTGAAAAGGACAACTTTTATTCTTCTAGATGTATGTATAGATATTTACCTATAATTGTAGCACTTTCACTTTTAAAGGCATATTTTCATTCTCATTAAACTCACCATTTCCTAATTGTCTGATGCAAGCTGAAATTCTGGTTCCCAAGTAAAATTCAAGCAACTCGCAAATCAGCTTTAAGTACTGCCCTCTATATGTACTATTCCAGGGCTACATTTTGAGAGCTTGTGGCCAGGTGCTGATTTGCTGTTTTAAATCCACCAGCGTTACACTGCGAAACATCCCAAGGATAAGAATTTAACTGAACAGTTCAATAAAAGGTCAAATTGCTATCCAAAGGTCAAATAAATCATAATATCTTTTTTCTGTCATAACATAGTTGATTGTACATATCTGTGGGGTACAGAGTTGAATATCATTACCTGTGTGCAGTATGTGATCCTCAAATCAGGATAATTAGTACATTCAGCATTATACAATGTAATCATTTTTCCTGGCCGTTTACCAATTCTTCCCTTTCCCCCTTTTCCCTCCGTCTTTCCCATCTCTGGTAACCTCAGTTCTGTCCTCTCCTTTTGAAAGTTCAACATATTATTGTGATTGTTTTATCTTTCTTCTTTTTAAAAAATTTATTTGCTTATTTTTTTAACTCTCACTTGTGAACGTGGACATGTGGTATTTTTCTTTGTGTGCCTGGCTCATTTTACTTCACATAAATTTCTCTAAGTTCATCCATCTTGCTGCAAATGGCAGTATTTCATTCTTTTTCATGGCAGAATAGTATTCCATTGTGTATATATACCCATTTTCCTCATCAGATGAGGGACATTTAGGTTGGTTCCAAATCTTGGCTACTGTAAATAGATCTGCAATAAAGATGGGGGTGGAGGTATACCTTGAGCATGATCTACTGCTTTTCTGTGCTTGATTGTGGTTTTATCTGAAGACATAAAAATTCATGTGCCATAGTGAAAACGAAAAAAAATAGGATTTAAGGGTTTCATAAGTTTAAAGTCACTGCAATACAGACCATGAGGTGATATAGAATATATGAGTTATAGGGCAGGCCTCTAAACTTTAAATCAAGCAGAAGGAGATACAGAAATAAAACTAACAAAACATGACTGTATATGGTATCTCTTATCCTATAGAGATTTTTATTAGCTCATGTTTAAGCAATTTTAGGACTTTAACATCAGGAAACCTGGTCTTTTGCTCGATATCTTCCCCTAAATAACTGATCTATGACAGATGACCTCCTTATCAGGCGATGGTTCCTAAATTTCTTTGTAGTGCTATTGTTTTATGATTCTTTACTACCTTAATATTACTTTCTAAATTTGCCCACTGACTTTTTTTTCAGTGATGTCATACAGATAGCATTTGCTTTCAATAATACATAGATATTGGAACTTCCCATCTTTTCTATGAATTAAAATAAGTAAGGATTCTGGGTCATTGATTCTCTTAACATCATTGTATGAGACACACATTTTACCTAGAAATCCTTGTCTATGAGATGGTTTATTTTGTCAACTTTTATTTTTCATAGAATAAGAAGTCATATATTGTTCACAGAAATCCATTATTTACACTACAAATAATGAATTAACTATTAATTCAATGATTATCATAGTCAGGAACCAGTTCTGAGGAGCTGATATAAATTCCGGAAACATATACTGAAATAATTTTGATTATGAGGCACTCGGCCTGGCAGTTCTGAGCAGGGTCCCTTTGTTTAAATCATTGCCATCATATTGTATTACCAGACTTTTTACCCTTGTGAGTTGGACATATCATTTGGGGAATTGGAATTCAGTAAATCTAAATTAGATATGTCAAGAAAATTTCTGGGACCATCTAGAAAACGTAGAAATGTATATCATCAGTATAGAGACTAAAGCTGTACTGAAGATTGAACAAATAGGATTTAAGGTTTCATATCCTCTCTTTGCCATGATTTAGAGATAAGCTAATATGGTGAAAAGTTTGCTTCATTATGAGTTTTCTTTGCATTGTTAAGAGTACAGAGTGGCAAAATAGAACCTAAGCTATTCTTGTGAACATACACAGTTGTATGTTCTAGGCCATATTTACTTCCCCTTAAACCTTTGATAAGGATTCAGCCTACCTCTTAGAATCAGGATCTTTTAATGGCAGTTATGTTTTCTTTTTGGAACAACCAATATCTGCCTTCTTTTCCTTCAATCGCATTTGCATGGTAGAATGGATTTCACTGAATTCTGAATTACTGCTTTAAAATCTGCCAGATATTTTTTTTTCCTTTTTGGCCATGGCATACTAGTGCACCAATAAATAGTGATTTGGACATTACCTAAAAATAAGTAAGTTGATTTCACTAGACATTTTGGGAAATATTCTATTTTTAGTACATATTTTCTTATATATTTTTGTGGTGCTGCCTGATATAGACTTCCTAGGAGAAAGAAAGAATTTCAAACTCACTTTTTCTCTGTGGTCATTTTCCCCCTACCTCTTTATACTACTATGTGGAGAGGATTTTTTTTTTAATAACTGCCTTATATTGATACAAAAAAAAAGCAAAAAAATATAAAAATATATAATTTTACTTTAGGGGCTGGCTATAGAGGTAGTGTATTAGTCCATTTCTGTTGCTTATAACAAAATACCTGGAACTGGGTACTTTTTGTGAAAAAAACTTATTGCTTACAATTTCTGAGGCTGTAGAGTTCAAAGTTAAGGGAGCACATTTGCCGAGGGCCTTCTTGGTGGTGGCTTTACAACAATGCAGGGGTCTCACATGGCAGACAATGGTGGAGCAGAGAGAGATAGATAACTCCTCATGCACTCTCCTTTTAGAGCCCTCAGAAGCACGCCCCTGACCACCATTATTAATCCATTCACTACGGGATGGTCGTATAATCTAATCACATCGTCAAGGCCTGACCTTTCAATTGTCTTATTAGGATTTCTCACCCTCTCAACCCTGTAACAGTAGGAGCCACATTTCCAATACCTGGAACTTTGGGGGACAAAATTTAAGCTTCAATGAGTTTAGGGGGGACATTCAAGCCACAGCATGTGGCATGCCATGTTTTCATTTATTTGGACCCTCAGTGTATAAATATGAGGAGGGTAAAAGAGTAGAAAGGCTACCTGAAGGCCAATGAGGATATGTACTAGAAAGGTGTTCCTTCTACCATTTTAGAGTGTTTCTTCTGAAAATGTTGTTTCAGAAGGAATTTAGTACACTATGAGTTCTGTCTAAAACAACAGTACAGGGTTTTTAGCAATCACGAGAATACATTAGCAAAAGTCTTGGATATTTTCAAATAATTTGCATTTTACTATCTTTGTTTTAGTGTGTGTGTGTGTGTGTGTGTGTGTTTTGAGTGGGGGATCAGGCCCATATTCAGTCCTTTTTTATATTTTCAAACTGTCCATTGTAAAATGAAGGAATGAAGAGTTGAAAATTACTTTGTTAAAAATATTCATAAATTCGACTTTGATTTACTTTTGGTTTGTACTGTGCAGCATAGCCCTGTTAAATAAATGTAGCTAGCTTTCAATTACAGTAAGAAATGGGCTCCATTTTAAAAGGGATGATTCTGGTTTTAGGTATAACAGCTGCAGCAATGGCTGAGGCAATGAAGCTGCAGAAGATGAAACTTATGGCTATGAACACTCTTCAGGGAAATGGAAGCCAAAATGGGACTGAATCAGAGCCTGATGAACTTAATTCTAACACAGGTGAGCATCTTCAGGAATCGCAGGCAGGTGACTCTTTCTGTTTTATTTGCGAGTGGGAGAGAGAAGGGATGGGGGCGAGGGGAGAATAATATGTGTACTTTGATTTTAAACAGTTACTCCAGAAGAATGCTTAACCCTATTGCCAACTCGTACACTGAAACTAGAAAACCATTGTATGTCAGAATCCCATTTTGGAAACATTTAGTTATTTCCATTGTTTTGTTGCCGTGGAATTAAATTCTAATTCTTATAATGCTATCCACTGCACTCTCTTCTTGATAAAGGCTGCTCCACTGCAGCTTCACCCCAGGCTTCTTACTCCATATTCTCTAAATAATTTACCACTGAAAGGCAAAGCTGAGAATTCAGGTTGGCTGGGCTGCAGTCTTTTCAGCTGGAGTGTTATTTCCTTAAGTAAATAAAGGTGCTGGCACACTCCAAGCATTATTGACAGGGGCTAAAGAACAGGGAGCAGGCAAAGAAGGACAGATGGAAGAAAGGGAGAGAAGAGAAAGATGCCTGTGGGATAGAATGTCTACTTCCCTCATACTTCTTGTTTTTCGTCCTTTACACTGTGATAATTGTATATTGGCCTTGATCATATGGCCCTTCAAATCTCTTTTGGAAGTAAGTGGGCTTATAACTATGCACATACATGAATGAATGGATAAATAAATAAGTTTTAATTGTAGTGAAGAATAATAAGAGGCAACCAAAGATGTTCTTAGGAGCCACAGGTTTTCCAGTTAGATTCAGTGTAATGTGATAGGTAGATCGGTAGCTGCCTTACCTCTCTTCTTCTATGCTCCTAGAAGTTCAAGCATGGTGGGGCCTTATTTTTGAGGGAAATGTGAAGCAGAATTAAAAAGAGAAATTATTGAATCAAATTGGCATGAGAAAATACTGTGACTTTAATACAGTCTAGATCTCTTTATCTAAAATTGCAATGTTCATGGTGAATTATAGAATAACAATTGCTCTTCAAGCAGTGCTCACAGTACTTTATTTCTACATAGCCTTGGTGCAATTTATTGGGTAATCAAAGAAAAGTGCATATTTTTACTGGATTAACAGTAAATGGAAGCAATCTATAGATACGACTAAAATTAGAACTAAGCAAAGAATAACAAAAACAGTAAGAACAATTTCCAGTTTCTATGCACTAAGATTTTTACATTTATTCATTTAATTCTTACCAAAATCCCAAGGAAAGGGCATTTCCAATACTCCCATTTTACAGATCAGGAAACATAGGCACAGAGTGGTTCAGCTTTGCCCATAGTTGTAAAGCTAGTAAATTGCAGACCTAAGTTTCGATCTCATGTCTGGTTAAGTCCAAAGTGCTCCTTCCACATTCTGCCTCCTCTTCAATGCTGTTTTGTAATGGGAATTTGACTTTATCAAACCCCTGGAGTAAAAATTTATAAAATAAGGATACATTGAGAAAACTGATGATCAGTTCCCAGGTCCTAATTTCTTTTAACTCATACTGGCTTTCAAATCTTAAAGTATCTTAGACCAATATTTGACAGGAAGCCTGTTGTGATTCCATGTTATAAAGGAATGTTCTGTACCAATAAAAATTAGTGAGAGCTCATGCAGTAATTTCTGTAATGTTTGTCTTAGGGATACCAGTTTCTGAAAAAGACTTTCTACAAAGTTTCTATGTTTCTCTTTTATAACAAGACATCATTAAATATTTTGAGAGGTATATTAGTAGCCTAACTTCTAACTTACCAAACAGTTAATAATTTTTTCTGGCTAGGTATAACCTAGCCTAACTCCAGATATGCATCATTATGATAAAAGAAAGCTTCCATCTATATGGTGTATGATGTTATACTTGGTGCTATAGAAATAGAATGATAGTAGCCACTGTCCTTGACCATGCAGAAATTACAATCTAATTAGCCTTATCTTCATGTAATGAAGGGAAGTAGACTTGAAATAATAATAATGATATGATCATTTGTATAGAGATTTAAATAGATTTTCTGAGGTTTTTCAAAGTCTGGGTAGATGAAATCCCTTCTCTACTGGAAAATAATAAAATACAGTTTCACAAGTGATCATTTTAAAATGGAAATTTACCCCCCTGCACTATTGGGAGGACTGTAAATTAGTACAGCCATTATGGAGAATGGTATGGAGGTTCCTTAAACAACTACAGATAGAACTTCCATATGATCCAGCAATCCCACTGCTGTTGTTACATCCAGAGGACTGAAAAACTTCAGGTCAAAGGTATACCTGCACTCCCATGTTTATTGCAGCTCTATTTACAATAGCTAGATGATCAAACCAACCTAAGTGTCCATCAATGGATGACTGGATAAGGAAATTGTGGTATATATGCACAATGGAATACTACTCAGCCATAAAAAAGAATGAAATTCTACTATTTGCAGCAACATGGATGAGCCTTGAGAAAATTATTCTAAGTGAAACAACCCAGGTACAGAAACAGAAATACTGCATGATCTCATTCATAACTGCGAGCTGAATCCATAAATAAACAAATGAACAATAGAGACAGAGAGTAAGAAAGAAACAGCAATCATAGTAATATGCTGAACTTTTAGAAAACTAGAGGTGGCAAAGTGGAGGGGAGTAGGAGAAGGAGGGGGCTAATGAGGAATTGGTCAATGGACACAAAGAATGATTAGGTATTGTAATGATGAATAAGCTATCTATACTGATTTAACCACCACACATTCTACACAATTATTGAAAATCAAAGTTGTACCCCACATATATGAGTGGTACAAACAACAGCAACAACAACAAAAAAAAAAACACAACAACAAAAAAAAGAATTTTAGGTCTGAAGATTTTTGGTAATCTGGGGAACTAGTATGTCTTTGATGTCCTTTGGGTCTCCTATCTCATGATTTAAACTGAGATCAAAGACTTGGCTTGATTTCTCTGGTTTCTATTTTTATCTACTTTATTTATTTATGTATTTTTTATTTTATTTTTATTTTGATTGTGAATATTCATGAGATACAAAGCTGATTGTCACCCCTTGTGCCCATGATGTGAGGGCCAGATTCATATTGGGGCCACACCCATTACCAGAAATTGCATTTGTAGCCTGTATCCTGCACCCAATTATCCCCAACCACCCTTCCCCTCCCTTCGCCACCCCCCCACCCCACTTTGTAGCCCAAGGATTTCCCTTTGCAAATCCAACGCACCACTGTGGTCTTTCTTTCCTTCCTTCTTTCTCTCTTAGCTCCTACATATAATTGAGTACATGTGGTTTTTATCCCTCTGTGCTTTGCTTATTTCACTCAACATAAGTGTCTCCAGGTTCATCCATGTTGTTGCAAATGGAAGAATTTCATTCTTTTTTATGGCAGAGTAGTATTCCATGGTGTATATATACCACAGTTTCCTTATCCAACCATCCACTGATGGACATTTAGGTTGGTTCCATGTTCTGGCTATTGTAAACAGAGCTGTGATGAACATGGGAGTGCAGGTATCACTTCGACATGATGATTTCCATTCCTCTGGGTCTGTAGCCAGAAGTGGGATTGCTGGATCGTATGGAAGATCTATCTGGAGTTGTTTGAGAAACCTCCATACTGTTTTCCATAGGGGCTGTACTAATTTACAGTCCTACCAACAGTGTAGGAGTGCTCCCTTCTTTCCACACCCTTGTCAGCATTTGTTACTCACTGTTTTTTTTTTTTTTTTTTTATAGCCAGTCTAACTGGGGCGAGATGATATCTCAGTGTGGTTTTGATTTGCATTTCCCAGATGATTAATGATGCCGAGCATGTTTTCAAGTATCTGTTGGCCATTTGCATGTCTTCCTTTGAAAAATGTCTATTCAGCTCCTTTGACCATGCTTTCGAATTGGGTTATTTGGTTTTTTT